CTATAATAACAAATTGAACATGCTAGCATTGTTTAAGTGTATGGCCTATACATCCTTAAATTTTTCTCGTTAATACTTCCCTCGAACGCCTAACTGACTTCCCGTTGTCGATCCCTCCACGGAATAACAGTATATTGTTAATTTGATCGCATCTACGAAACGCTCGGGGCGAGAATTGGAAATGTTGCGCAACGATTCTACGACCTTCCGTTTAAGCTCAAAGTATTCAAATCGTTGTCGCTTCCTGGTTGCCTTAATTAAGAGCGGCCTGAACGTCTGAAAACGGTCGAGAGACGAGCGGGTCTCGCTGGTACCCCATAACAAACGGTCAAAACTGGTCGACTGATTTCTAGGCGGTACCAGCGTTGCTCAATACTTTCAGGAACTAGTTTTAATTAGTCAAAATAACAACGTTGACTCACGGGTGAAACTCATTTGGTTGAGAAACGTTTCGCGCGAGCTTCCCATTATTTTAATTTAATCGTTACTCGAGTATCTTCAGTCGATCGGATTATGCATTTCGAGCTTGCATCCTACGTTTTGCAAATTTTTTTTTTTTAACGAGCATCCAACCGGCCGGGCATTTTCTGCCAACGCCGCCAATTAAAACACGATCGACCCGTTGAACCGGGTTCTCGAGTCATCACGGTCACCGGCAATCGTTGCCCGCAATTATTTCTTTTTTTGTACACGTTTTCGTTCGCGACAGCTACTAAATTGGAGTCGTTACGTTAACGACGGTAAGTTCGTTTAATTGATAGCCCGCGGCGAGCAAGGGGGCCAACGCGGAACGATAAATCACATTTGCAACGTATCGCTTTTTACCCGACTCGATTAAACGGCATTCGCGATCGGAATCCTCCCGGTTATCCGTTCGCGCCGATAATTCGTTGTTTGTTCTTTTGATTAATGAATAATGAATAGACAACGAGCCACGTTCACTCTCTGATTTATAGAACGTCGAAGTTTCATAAATAAAAGGTAGAAGCAGATATGCGTTTCGATAGATCGTCTCGTTTTCGTTTGGGCCCTCGAGTGCAACGTTTCATTTTTTTTTTTTACTTTATTTCGGAGTTTTACGTGAACGGGAGACGAGCTTACCCGATTCGTCGACGAAGATGCTGATCCTTGGCTCGTGATCAGCTTCGAACCGATCGCCGCCAAACAGAGAAAAATGAGTCACGTCCTCGTTCCTGTCTGTATGTACTTCGCCACGAGGCATTGAACTCCACTCGAAATTTTGATCATGTTCGTCTGTTATGATTGTAAGTGAATTCTGAGGAAGTCGTCGAACTTCTTATCATCATGTTAATACCGAACGTGTTCGATGAATAAATCTAGAGATCTTACGTCTCGTTCTCTGGGCTTCTCATCGATCGATTGTGTAGATTTAAGGAATAATTCTAACATGTCTGCGGGGACGTCGTCGAAGTACCGAGGCTCGTCCTTCGAGTCTCTCTCGTTTGGCGGATTAATCGAATCTTGGACAGGACTCTTCGCGTCCCCTATCCACAAGGACAGTGGCTCGTCTCTCGTAGGTGACAAATTATTCTGCTGGACAGTTTTGAAGACACAGTTAGACAAAAAATCGTTTACAGGATACGTCATTTCATCCTTTTAAAAAATAGGAACGAGTCCTCTTATTTCCTCTTATTTATTTATACGATTGACATTTAAATGGAGTAGGCCTTGTATCGAATTAAACGAGCACTCACGGAATCAGCATTACCCCGATTACCAGCCTGTTCACCCTTCGGAGTTGCGTCGGAATTAACGATCGGAGCGTTCGCCAAGTCCTTGATATGTTCCACTGGCACCACGAGGTATGGTCTGTCGTAGGTATTCTCGATCTTCGGCGGTTGCACCGATAAAAATTGATTGCCCACGTAAAACGGGTATTTGAGAAGGTAATTGAAAAACAGGGAGCGATTCGATTTCCTCAGATTATTCAGGAGCCCCGTTTCCAAAGCCGTGTGCGGTGGCAGTAAAATCCTGTTCGGGACGAGTATTTTCTCGAGGATGCTCGTCAAATTTTTGTCCCGCAAAAAAGACTCGATCTCTTCGACTCGTTTATTCAAATCGTCCGATGTGTTCTGCAATCACGCGAAAACAGTTTTATCGCCGCCGGAACGGTTCGTATTTTTAGCTACGATCGCATCTTTATTATTAGAGATTCTCGTGAAAGATTTTATCGCGCATTACGAAACTCAACGAGACCACCGATCGACAGGAGCGGTTTTACTCGCGCGTCCACTTTGTAAATAATGGAGAACAATTTCCCACCGAACGGACGTTCGACCAAAATTCCGATCGGGCGCTCACCGTTCCGCTGTCTCGAAGTGGGTATGGATTTTCTGTCACCGCACGCGTCGTCGTCGGTAGATCGAGACTGTCGTGCGAGGCTCGTACCCATTTTCGAAATTCTTCGCCGCGCGACGACAGAATCTCCTCGAGCCAGTCCTTGTAGCTGCCGGAGTCGAGGATGTTCTTGATGGATCGGAGCCATTCTTGAAATTGCTGCGAGTCAAAATTACTGTATGGAACGGCGTGCGAAAGGGTGATTCGGGGATCTACGATCGTTACCTTGAAGTCTTTTTGCTGTTCGGCGTTTTTTATCCAAAGCTCGATGGCGTCTAACTCTGTCTTCGAATTTAAGTGATCGAGCCATGATCGAGGCATACTGGTGTTAAAACGTTATCAATTTTAGTTTGTATCATTAGATTTTCTATGTAAGGAAAGGATGTGAATTAAACGAGACTCACTCTGTCCCTTTTTCCAACTCGTCCTGGAATTCGTTCCCACGAGTCTACAAACATTAGACGTTGCAATTAATTAGATGAACTCGTATGAAACTCAGTTCCAAGGGAGACTTTTAAAATCGCGTTTAATTCTCGAGTACCTCGACTTCAGACGTTTCACTCTTGTTTCTCAAGGACCTTCTCGAAAAGGAAGAGGAATCGTTCCTCGCCACTGTCTTTAATTCGCGGCAATACCGTTTAACGTCGCAGCCGTTCATTCCGCAAGGTTCGACGACTTCGGCGTTACACGTCTGCCCCCGTGGGCACATCCATCCGCGACAATGCTCGCTCGTCGCTTCGTCCACTTAACAATTGCAACAGGTTACAACAAACGATTCGTGGCAATTAGTTTATATTCTATTACCGTTCGTCGTTACGCAATCCGGTTCGTGTTTACATGACGGACTTATACAGTTGTTCTCTGGTCTCCGCAGGAAGCATTCGTGCTCCGATGGACAGTTCAAACTTCTGCATCTTCCGAGCCAAAGGTGCACTTCTAAAACAGCGAGTACTTTTACGCCGTGCCAGGAATTCGATTAAAGGGAACGACCGATACTACGAAGACGCTACCCCTGTTCTCCGAGCAGCTTCTTAACAATCTACAAGGTGGTTTCGCGCAGAACGACTCCCGAAGGATGCATTGCTTCCCTTGAGGACACTTGAACCCGGCGCACGACGCGGGACCTTCGTGGAATTCCTTCAGAGATACACATCTTGCCATCTGTTGCTCGCACCCTCGCAATCATATCGTTATCTTAATTTCAAATTGGACTTTTACCCGGGGTAAAATGCTCATTTTGAAAATGAGTTTTAGATAGAATCTTGTATGATTCAAGAAGACGCGCTTACTTGTGTCCCATCGACAGCGGCGTACTTTTATCATGCACACGTGTTTGTAGGGACACTGTACGGTTTCACAGGTAGCAGGACCTCTCAAGGATTCTTAAAACGAACAGCCTCGATTAATGACGAATAGTAAGTAGAATTAATTTCCGAATGCATTATTGGAGAACAACGATTCATTGGAGACTCGACACCGCTTCCGGTGTCTAATCGATTTTCGAAATAGGACACCCACGTACGCGTTCGTCTATACAGTTTACCTGTTCGCGATCCCGCGCAGTACAGCATTCCGGGACAGGGCGGGACCCTACAACGAAATCTTCTATACACGCAGACTTGGTCCGCACTGCAATCGGCGAACATGCATCCCCCAGGGGGTCCGTCGTACGTCTCTGCTGTTCAACGGAGAACCGTGAGTCTTTCGAATCTCCACGATTTATTTAATTTGCCTGTGCTCTCGTTACTGAATTACAAAGCTTCTGTTTCGAAGTTGAACGGGAAATGAAATTTCATAAGACCGATTCGCGAGAAATATTTTATACGAAACACTTGCTTGTTTTTTATTGTACACGAACACGGATCGGGAGTCAATTAATCGCGTAGGCGGAGCACCGTGCAAAATTCGTGAACGATATGAAACAGGCACCAACCTATCTTCTTAGGACCTTGTAAATCGTCACTTGCGATCGGTACCAATAAATTAAACAGTGCGAGGCACACGCAAACGACGTATTGAGCCTCCATCGTCGGAGGAACGTGATATCGGAACGTGAGTCGATTCTGATAACGTGTTCCGAATGCACCGACCACTAGGCAATACGAACGGCAGTTCAGGGAGCTTTCCGGTCTCAGGCTTATCCAAGGCCGGTAAAACGAAATGTTAAAAAAAAGAAGACACCTGAACCACGTCAGCTGCAGTAATTGGTATGCAAAAAATGATATAATCCTTTTGTAACTTGTTTAAAAATTAAATAAAAATCTTGTTAAACATATATCTTACTGTCGAATTATTCACTTGCCCGCTATTCCCATAATGACCAACGCCCATTCCTTAACGAGAACTATAACTCGAAATAATAACGCTGGCCACTATTAAATTAGTCGTATAAGTACGTTAAATTCAGCGCTGCGAAATTCTTGGAAATGACGTCATCAGTAGTACTTAGTGCTACCTCCTATCAACTCATATTCTCCTAATACAAAGTCCGATTTTAGAGAAAAATTTTGCTATCCGAGAATTCTTGGAAATGACGTCATCAGGAGAACTTAGTGCTACCTCTTATACTATCATATTC